CCCCCCCACCCCAGAACAAAACCTTAATGCCGTCCATTGCCCTCAGGCGTTGTACTGTCCTTCAGTGAGCAGCCCCCTAATTCGGCAGAGGGCGCTCTCTACATTGCCAACGTGTGCGGCCATTCAGAGGAGTTCGTGAACGTCCGGCTTTCAGCAGAGACAACCATCTGTGTGCACGTCTCGGAGACCAAGGCCAGATATAAAGAAGCTAAGAAAGTCTGTCAAGGTACGGGCGAAGATAGTCTGTTTCTTTTGTTTTTGTTTCCTGCCATCAGCTCTGGGTAATGTTTAGTCTCTTCACCGTTGCAGAAACCTTGATTTCGATTCAAAAGGGACATTGGGGGGATGGGGTGGGATGTGTATTTTATAAAGTAGATTAAACAAACTGACAATGTAGAAGAAAAAGTACAATAAAAACATCCACCAGCTCAAATTGCAGTTACTGAATGAGGTAGCATGGCCTTCCCGACTCTACAAAGTCGACAACTATTGCTATTTGAGCAACGTCTATTCTGGAGGAAAACTGGCGATACCGCAGATTTCGGGTTTAGTGGACTTCAATGTATTACTTCTCGCCCTCCAGATCTTTTCTTCTTGGATACACTCGATCCAAAGGTGAGACACGGTCGATACGTTTGGGATCAAGAAAAATACCAGGTTGTGTCTTACTATTTCATAGGTGTGGTGCGCAGGAGACCTGAGTTCGATTCCCGAAAAGAGAGCAGTTTTTATCGAATGTCTCAATCTTTCAGCGAGAATGTTGACTCCCTCTCAGCCCAGGTTGGCTCTAAACGATTTAAATTGTGTCGATAACAAAAGAGATGACTGTGAAGTGTTGACCAAGCAAGTACAAGTTGAAATGTTCACAAGTCCGCACGGCAGTAAGAGCCTCGGGCTCAGTCTGTGACAATAATTTCGTGACTGACTTGCGCGCGCCCCGATGCGAATGTTGTTGTCGTTGTTGTTCCTTCGCTGTGAGAGTATTCAGCCAAGCCCAAAGGGGCTCGCGTCAATGACGATCTTAGTTAGGAGGTTGGGGTCAAAGTAAACTACGTCATGAATTTGTCACAGATAATCATGTCTTCGAGTGTAGTGTACACTTTCCCTTGTGATTTCTAATACGATTTCATGTATGATTTCTGATATGAGTTCTAATGTGAATTTTGAAATGTTCTTCAGTCCATGACCAAGATGTGCTTATACGTTTCAAGTTGGACTATATGGTTTGTGCAAATGAAATTAGATCTAATTGTTCTAATCAGAAGAAAGGCATTTTATTCCTTGGTTATCTTACAAGAGTATTTTGAAATAGAAGAAGTTGAGGCAAATACAGAACAATCCTGATTTGTAGTTTGGGGGTGGGTTGGGGGGGGGGGAGTTTCAACAATATCAGTTAATCTTCATTCCCCCTCTATGCGGGATTCTCAGAGACGAAGATCTTTGTAACACACGATATTGATTAGGTTTAAATTGCTGCTATTGGGTATTCATGCCCTTGTCTTGTATTTTGCGTCGGTAGTGTTGCGATGGACCTTCTGTTTCCTGGCCTTCTCTTTTTTACTCTTTGCTTACTCTTGTCATTTTGGATCTGAAACGGTTCTAAAATTCTAAAAAGAATTTCTTGTCTTGCTTTTCATCAGCTACGGAGCTTTGTGTTTCAAAACCAAACCAAACAAAACCAAACCAAACCAAACAAAACCTCATTGTCTGCTTCAACATTGATCAATTCATGTATTTGAGATCAGTACTGACCCATTTTTAGCACTTCTTCGTCCATTGTATTGAACACTTTGGCTTCAATGACAAAGAAGCCAAGAGCGAGATTCTGCGTGGCTTTGAGTGCGACTACTCATAATCTGCTTTTCGTCAAAAGCGCAAATTTGATGGAATGTCAACAAATAGCTGCCACACCAAACGTTCTTTGTTCTTCTCGTTTGTAAATCGACCGCAAGGGTAGGAATCACATACTTATCTTATACGGTCACTGTTTCGTGATGTGTTCATGTTCTGAAAGTAAAATAAAGAATAAATAAAATAATAACACCGCTATCGGAACTAATTCTTATGACACGGACTTATTTTTGCTTTCGAATCAGAGATATTCTTGGCTAGTAGGAACTCACACTGTTTTGAAACTTCCTTCCCGAGTAAGGCGGGATGTTGACAAAATAAATATTTAAAAATCACGTCAGTTCCAGTTTGATAACGATCATTGTGAAGAGTCAACTAAGTTTTAAAAAAAATGACGTATCGATTGTTCTAGTTTTCTTTTGAAAAGACAAACTATTCCCAACAGGCCACCAATAAAGCGTAAAACTGCAACACAGCCCGGGGAAACGCGAAGAAGAAGAAATGGGACTGAAAAAGGCAAAAAAGGCACAGGTCAATAAACAATTTATATTAGCTTACACATTATATCCCACTAATGTTGTGTGTGTGTGTGTGTGTGTGTGTGTGTGTGTGTGTGTGTGTGTGTGTGTGTGTGTGTGTGCGTGCGATTCCACCAGTGTGTGTTGTTCATTTATATTGTCGTTTGAATTACAAACATAGCTTTTATCTCAGAAAATTAAAAAGTGCCCCCCACCCCCCTTGAAACCCTGTTATTAAGAAAACAAATTTAAGTGTAATATCTATCATATTTTATTGTTCCTTCGTAAAAATGTTTGTATCTTCGTTGAATAATACAGCCAGGCCTTCTTAGATTTAAGAACGCCTAGTTATAGAGACGTTGACACGAAAACTAAGATAGATCTTGGTATTTTCCTTGATATCAACCCCTTTAAAAAGTCGGTTCGTTTATAATAGTTTGGTTTTTCATTCAAACGGTAGTAATCCTGGCCTACTTTACATCTCTCAAAATGGTCAAGGTGTTGTTGAATGCTCTTTTTGTGACAAGTCACCCCGTCGTCTTTTTTTTTTTAAACGTCGGAACCGTTTGGCTTTTTGCTTTTCTTTATTTGAGAAATCTGATGGTTCCAATTTTCCCTGCGGTTTTACCAATACTGGGAAACCATCGTACATGTATTTAGTTTCTTTGTGTGAATGCCCACACAGACACCTGTGTACGATTGTGTGAGTGAGTCGCACATCGCTGTATGCGTACCATTGTGTATGAACGTAATGAGCGCATTTCTATGTTGAGGCCGAATCTTTATATGTTGAGGTTCTAGTATATGCACTTAAAATTTCCCTCATGAATTGATATATCTTATCTAATCTTATCTGATCATATCTTATCTAATCTGATCTGATCATATCTTATTGTTATCTTATCTTATCTTATCTTTATATCTTACCCCTCTTTGATCCTTTCACTCTGATTACCTATATTGCTTCGCCCATTTCAGTTCCACAGACTACAGGGATACAAAAGCCGACTTTTTCCTCTTCAGTGTTGTGTTAACTTAGGAGTTTCTCTTCGCTCTTTTTCCTCACACTTTTTACGATACCCCTTTCCCCACTCTACTCGACAACCAGAAAAGGGAGGTCACTTGTACGGTACCCAGACATTACCCAAGTACCAACTGTTCTTGGACATAGTGGCGATGTTTCCTGGCTCATACCTGATTGGGCTGACGGACATCGACGAGGAGGGAAGATGGAGGTGGGATGTAGACGGCACGGTGATGACCTGTGAGATGTGGGACACATTGTGGAGGGGAGGTGAGTTTTACGTTTGTGGGTCCTGAGCGACTCATTGTTTGAAAATGTTTTTATTTGTGTCTTTTGCCCATAAGCTGGACTTGTATCAAGCAGAACGTGTCGTTGTTGTTGTTGTTAGCAATACGGTACAGGTTCTGGCTGGGGTTTTGAGTTCAATTCATAAGGGACTTTGGGATTTTCCTTGACGTAGACCTATCAGAGGAGTGCATAGTATTTTATTGTTCTTTTGCTGGCCCCCTCCCACCCACCCCCACACAACACAACACACACACATACACACACACACACACACAGATATACACCACATCACTCTATCTCACTCTATCTACATATATATACAGACACACGCAACGCAAACATTCACACCCACACACACTCACAAACATGCGCGCGCACACCCACACCCACACACCCACCCCCCCCCCCCCCCCCAAAAACAAAATAAAAATGAACACACAATATTTACGCCAGCCTTTGGCCCAAGACGCAAAAATTAATGCCTAACATCCCCCCCCCCCCCCCTTGTCCTCACAGTGGTGTGGATCCACCATTGATTTTGTGCTTATATTATTTACTTGCTTTTTAGTTTCAGTTTTAAAACAACAAAACAACCACATTCATTCTATGATATATAATGGCCATTCAGAGCAGGATTAAACTATGACAGAACAATACAGGAGAAAATGAAGTAATTTACACTAATGGTACTCTCAGCGACCGGCTGTGGGTTTTGATCTGGTCCGTGTTCCTTCACAGCCTTCTCTCAACTCACCTATTCACACAGCAAGACGAAACAGACCCCTGGGAAAAGAATGTAAAATTACTTGTTTAAAGGAAAAAAACTAAAGTTAATAGCAGAAATGCCCGTCTAGACATCATCAGAGGGTTGTCTAACGTCTAAGACCACCAAGTTTAGGCATCTTAAAAGTGCTTCCGGGTTGAGTTATCACCAAACCCAAAGTCATCAAATCGAAAAAAAAACACCCCAGCCCCACACATGAAATCAAGCGGAAAAAAGATATTTCCGATTCTAATTTTGTTTGAGCAAGATCTCTAAGACATAAAGTAGCAAGTGAAATTCAACGGTGTAAACTAGCAATCCAGATTATTATACAGTAGTACACACAACATTTCAAACGCAGTTAGCTGTAACACATGCACTATTTTTTAAATTCCGTCTTCATGTTTTATGATCGTTGCAGACACAGCCACCTCTTGCTCGACGTAGACAAACTATGTACCAAAATTCATGGAGATCATCACTGAGATCTATAATTAACTCGGGCTCTTTATTCTATATGTGCTTGAGGAGCAATAGAAAGCTAAACGTTTGCATTTTGCTATTGAGCATAACATTAATTTTGTACTTTGGAAGGAGTCCGCTGTTTGTCATTGACAGCTGTGGCTAACTGTCCTATGGAATATTATTATTATTATTCTGCAAGCTTTGGTAGCCCCTAAATAGTCACCAGTATAAATGCCAAAGAGAACAGCCAACTACAGGGACTGGTGTCTATGGTGTTATGGTTAGGATATTCACCGTTACACCCAAAGACACGTGTTCGATTCCAGAGATGGGAAGCCTATTATTTTTGCGAGTATATCCGTATTTTTGTTAGGGTGCAGTGTCTGTTTATCCGAGACCGAGCGGCCCTGACAGGCGAGAGTTGAAGCACCCACCTCTTACACTACATACGTGGTGATTTCATTTTCACAAAAATATAAGTATATTATATCAAACAGGTTCTAAATTACTTGGAACGGGTTTTGTTTGGGTAAACGTTATGAAGCACAGTACAGGTCAACGAGTAAATGGAAACTTAAAAGAAAGATATTGCACGTACTTTATATATATATATAATATATATATATATATATATATATATATATATATATATATATATATATATATATAAGTATCTCCAGAACAGTGTTGAAAAGACATTTTATTTAGAACCAATGAAGCAAGATCTGTTTAGTTGCTCTGTAACTGTAAGTTCACTACAAGGCCTTTGATGCAAAGTACGGAGCTGTTCCACATCACCTATAGACAGGGTGATAAAAACAACCACAACTAAACAACTTTTTTCTGAATATCTCGCACAAAATTTGTACTAGAATGTTGTGATTTGAAACTGGTATAATTTATCCAAAAGGAATTTGTTTGACATAAAATTCATGAAGAAAAAATGGTTTTCGAAAACGGAAATGGCTTTTGATAAAAAAACCACCTATTAAAGCAAAGTACACCAATTTAAAAGTCTTGTAAGGAGAGTCATGACATGATTGGGTTTTTTTTTCTCTTCCTTTTCTTTTTAAATCTAATCTTTCCATCCCTGTAACATTTAAACAATATTTCTTTTCTCTTACGGAGTTAAAAAAAATAAAATTTGTAAAACTCTGGAACTCCGAGACCCAGTGCTCTATATAATAATATCCTTCTTTGGACTCAAATTTTAACGCGTCGTTTGTAATGTTCAGTGGTGGCCAAACACAAGGATCCACCCAACCATGAGTACTCAAAGCCGCACACGCTGTATACCTTACAGTATGGAGTTGTTTCTAAAGACAAAAGGGGTAGGGTGAGATTGCCCAAATAGACAGCATTTGTGGAGTTAACATATCCTGAAAGGTGAATACGTGTACAATGTATGGGCTTTGCCAAGGAACCAAATGCCGTAGAGGAACTTTCACGCTTTTCAATACAATGGAGGAATCGTGAACTCATTGCTATCCTCTGATCCACATCAGCTTCGCGAACAGGAAAATGGTACCGTCGTAGATGAAGATCTACCTTGAGAATGCAGACTGTTGAGATGTAGGAAAGTCCTAGCTGTAGACATTGTCAACGGACAGACGTCTCATGGGGCTCTTCTACAGAATACTGCACCCTGGTGACGTTTAAAGGGGTGTGAACGGTGTGTATTTGACCTGAAGTGGTAATTTTGTCTGCGAAATTTTAGTTCTGATTCTCTACATGTCCTAACAGATGGATCATTTTCACCCTTGACATCAAAGGAGGCCTTAAGGACGCTTTAGCATTATTTCCGCACCTTGTGCGAAACTTACGAAATGAATTGGTGGTGAGTGGTGAGGAAATGTTCAATACAAAAAGCTCTCTGCTCTTTACTCATCTTAACCATGATCTCAACAGGCGAAGGAAACTTTTGAAAAACTACATGTATCTGCAAACTTCTGTTGGACTGGTAGACTACTGTAGCTTGCAGTATGGCCCTATCGTTGGGACTTTTAGTGGTAGGCCTAATGCGAACTAGTGCGTCATGCTACAAAAATGGGGACGTAGCTGAAAATGGGTTGTTTTTTCGCGCTAGGTAGAAAAAAACTATTCTGTGGATTTATCTAAAATGAATACACGTATCAGACAAATCCCTTTGACTCCAAAATATTGCGTACAAATTTGAAACACATAACTTCGGTGTGGAGGAAATTATTTACATAAAAGGTTGTTTAGTTGCTTTTTTGGATCACCCTGTATGTTATGTCCCTTGACTTCCAAACTGCCATTCTTGTTCCTCTACTTCTTGTTTGTGTTAAATAGTAGTACATTGACAAGATATTACCAGTCTTAAATTTGGAAATGGCCAGACAATGAGGCAGTAGCAACAGGAAATAGTAAAGTAAGAGAATCTACTTATCTCGCAATAAGTTAAACATTTTCCAATTTTGATGCTCCTATGGATTAATGTCACAGCGCTGGCAAGCAATCATTCCCATTCATTCTCTCTGTTTCAGATGAACCAAACGGCGGGAATCGAAACGAGGACTGTGTGGCCTCAGCCAATACAGGCCCCAACGCAAGCACCACCATTAAATTTTTGGACATTCCATGCTCCAGATGGGCCCCTCTCAAATTCATCTGCGAGAAATATCCTTTATAGACTCTGGGAAAGACAAACCAAGGCCCGCTTCACCCAGAAAAGAACGTGGAACAAGAAACAGTAATCTCCGCGATGCGAAATGTCTCACACCACACTTCAACAGATCGCATAAACTTTGTCACCTTCTCACGTTCGCTAGTCGCTAGTTGACAAAATGGAATAAGGGGACGAAGACATATTGTCTGATCAGCAGCCACAGTGAATGTGTTCTTTGTCATAACTTTTGATATATTACGTGTGCATAATATGTACATAGTGTCTAAAAAAACAAATAAAGATGACCCACTTGAAGTAAACTAACTCGTCATCTTTGCGTCAATTTCAACAAACTTCCAACTAATAAAACAAAATTAATCAAGGTTACGTCGAATATATCAATATGAAGAAAAAAATCAGTTCATGAGTTCGAGAAACATTACGTTAAAAATGTTTAAACAAATTTTGCCTCTGAGAGTGCAGGTTGCCCCCCACCATCAGTATACTTTTAGACGTGTTACGTTGTGAGTTCCACATGTAATGCTGGCAAATTAGGCTACTCGTTCTTTCATTACACAACTCAAAGCATATCAAAAATGGACAGTGAACGTTTTCGATAAAAATCGATTTTTGGGGTCTTTTTCCTACATAATCCTCTTTAACGCTTGCAAGTTTCTACTCCCCCCCCCCTATTTTCGAAGATTTCTGGCTGGACATTTGGGAGAAACGAAGAGGCTTAAATAGTCTTCTTTTGGTAAGTAGAAATTTATAAGCTATATATAGTGACCGTAACGGTCTTTATGTCCGGCAGTCTAGTGGTTAGGCTACAGGACTCGTAATTGTGAAATTGCCAGTGTGGAGGTGCGAGGCTCAGCTCGGTCATTGGACAAGTTCACTGTATATACATTTTTCCACTTAAATCGCTCTTATCGGATATAGGCGTTAAATTAGGAGGTCCTGCTTCTTGAATAACCATTGTAGTGTTGCAAGAGGCGTTAAATCTATTCAAAATCTCACATTTCTGTCCCCAGATAAATTAGAGCCAGATAATGTGGACATAGTTCTTTTGGCGAAATCATTTCTCTTCCTTACAGCTACAGAGTGACCGATTACAAATGGCCACCGATCGTTGTTATTAAATTGTTCATTTGACTTAAGGCTCATCTGGGCAAGGGTAGATTATTCTGGGCAAGAAAGGTTTCGCCCAAAGTAGGAGTAAAGGAAAAAAGAACTGAGTGGGAAAGTAAGTGAGAAAACAAAGACGATACACTTAATTGTTAGATTTTAACTTTCTTGTCATGCTTTCTAGTATTCAAAGTACTATCTCTAAGCACTGTGTGTTTATATATATATATATATATATATATATATATATATATATATATGTGTGTGTGTGTGTGTGTGTGTGTGTGTGTGTGTGTGTGTGTGTGTGTGTGTGTGTGTGTGTGTGTGTGTGTGTGTGTGTTTCAACGTTTGTGCCTTTCCCGTTCCCCTAACAGAATGCTTTTTTATTCTTTATTCAAAGCACGATCTTAATTACCTTTGTTCACAACAAGGAGGTAGGAATCAAACTTCCAGAGATAGATCTTTATTATTTTATGTTAGTCATCAATTGCTGAAATAGGAGAAAAGTTGAAAACAGATGAAAAAAGTTTGCCTTTTGAACGGAACAGGCTATAAAACACATTCTTTTTTTCAAACTGTTCAATGGTACTTTCATCCTTTGCGAAACCTTCTTTCACACTACCCTAGTGTGTTTTATCCCTAAAACATTGTCATGAACCCATCACACCGAGCAAGCATTCGATTCCACTGTTACTGCCCCATTTAACCATAATCAACACCGACTCGTGATAACATTCTACAACAAGAGTGACCTATTTTCGGAGTGAGGATAAGTTCTAGACCATAACATGCCATACCATGCCATACTGTACCGTACCATACCGTACTATGCCATACTGTACCGCACAGTACCATGCCATACTGTACCGCACAGTACCATGCCATACTGTACCGCACAGTACCAAGCCATACTGTACCGCACAGTACTATGCCATATTGTACCGCACAGTACCATGCCATACTGTACCGCACAGTACCATGCCATACTATACCGCACAGTACTATGCCATACTTTACCGTACTATGCCATACTGTACCGTACCGTACTATGCCATACCGTACCGTAACATGCCATGCAGTACCGTACTGTACCGTGCCGTGCTGTGCCATACCATGTCATAACATCCCGTACCGTACCAGTTCAAGTTAGAATCTTTTGAAAAAGGCATGACTCTAGAAATAGTAAGAGGACAATGCACTCTAAAAGACTTAGAGGTTTACATCTTCATCACATCTCTGTTTACTACTACCAAGCACAAGCCCTGCCAAAATGGATTATAGATCTAGTCCTTCAAAATTATTTGATTCTGGCATATATGCTCCCCTTAAACAAAGATCTACATGTACTTTGATCAAGGTAATTTTGCAAAACTTCTAACTTCTAAGTTGGCAGTTTAGATCCCGATAGGTTTAGCGCAAAACATTTTTACTTTTAGTTTAGACCCAGAAGGCAAATCGACAAGAGAAGTCTGGGTGATTCTTTTTTACAGATTACCCGAGCCAAAAATGTTTCGTCTTCATTATGACTAAAACCCTGTTAATTCCAGTAGGGCATTTTTACACAGAAATGTGAAATGGCATAGGTTTAACACCCCTATCAACACTATTTGGTTATTTAAGAGGCGTGACCTCGGAGTTTAGCGTCCATCCCTGAAAGAAGCGATCCAAATAAGAAATTCGTGCACAGTGCCTTTCCCAAGGACCCACGAACCTACGATCTCACGATAAACACAAGGCTACCGACGTCACATTTAACACATACAAAAGAGCAAACACTCAAACGAGGAAATGAACGAAACAAAACAGCATTGTGGTTAAGAATTTAGTGATTGTTAAAAACATATTTACATTGCACGATAATGCATAAGTCACAACGCATAAAGATTTGCGGGAATCCTTTTTTAATTATTTTCTTTTTCACAAAGCAAAAGTTTGTTTTTATGCTGTTCACGATCGATCAAAAGATAGATTTCATTGACTGGCGAATGGAAGTCTTTCCAGAAATACCAGCCTTACGAGTAGACATGACAGGGTTACTTGACTTGGGATATGGGCTCTCGATGATGTTGCAGTCAGTCTGAGCCCACCTGGCATTTAACCCAAAACAAGTCAAATGTCTTTTGTGGAGAGCCGGTTTCCTGGACTTAGTGTGAGGTATGACTGTTCTCTGTGGCATCGCCCGGTGATACCTTCCTAGTTTCTTGTGATTGGAGGGTTTCCCATTGACGTCATCAGTCGCTGTGCTGTTCTCCGGCAATGGCCCAAGAATATGCCTGATTGTATACGGGGGGTTTTCTCGTTGAACAAATCTTGCTAACGAAATTTCTCGTAGGTAAAGAAAGTCATGAGCTTTTGTCTTACACTTTTCACCTATTTTTGAGCCGTTTTGAGATTCATCCACTTGCGGAGAGATGTCACTTTCCTTTGCACAATTATTGGGCAACTCACTGGCATCATCCATACCATAAACTGAAACGCGGCTTACCTCTTCGTGGCTGGGACGCTTGGACTGAGAAGGCCGGTGTTTTAAATGTTTTAGCGATGAAAATGTTTTTTCCGGAGATACATAACCCCATTCAACATGCATGTCAGCGTGGGCCTTCCTACAGGACATCGTGATCGACACGTCAGTGGATCCAGGATGAAAAGCATTAAAGGATCTGAGCTCATCATAAAGACCAATAATTCGTTTGTAGCGCTCCAAGGACTCCTGAAAGGAAAACAAACAAGTGTGCGACGAGACGGAGGAGGTTTGAAATATTAATGGCGATAAAAACAAAACAACAACAACAACAAAAATCCCACAAACAAAACAAGCCCCAATCCTTTTTTACCGTGGCGTTTAAAAAAACAAACAAACCAGTCTTTTGCGTCTTTAAGCTTTTCCTTTCACGTGAGTAATACCAAAGATCGTATAACAAGATAGTTCACTCAGCCAAAAAGATGTCCACAGAAGTCTGCGCATTGGTTCAGATGGCACTGCACACTGCAGTGTCTGGTTTGAAGCTCTCTTTCGTTTCTCCAGAAGAAAAATAGGAATAGCACAATTTGTTGATTGTTTTTCACACAAGTAGGGTAACTCTGATCGCAAAGTCCGCACTTATTCGAAGAGGGCGCCCCAGAACTTTGAGGACATTTTAATATTTGACTCAAAGAGGGGAGTGAACTATCTTGTTATACACGATCTTTGGTAATACTAAGTACTCTAAAAAGTAGGTCATGTTATAACAAAAGCAACATTTTGGTACTTCCATTTGTGTTCACAGCACTTACGTCAAAAAGTAGAAAATTGCCCCTTTTCCCCAATCACGAGGTGGATCTTTCCTATTCTTTGATTTTTTATGAAGTTTTTGTCTGCGTGTATCAAAGACCTCATCAACATTTGACTATTGTCACGCAGGAAAGATTGTAGTTTAATTAAACATCAGAGAAATCGAGCCATCGGCATGCTCCTTGCGTTTCTGTTGTTGTCAGGACATTAAACCTCAAAAGAAAATTGACGTTTAACGTTTGAAAAACACGTGGCAGACACTCGAGATGACGTTTATACTTCAGAGAAATATTTTATTTCAAAGCTTGAAGAACAAACCGAAGTGAATTCCAATGGGATAGGTTATACATGTTCAAGATCGTGTATGTGTGTGTGTGTGTGTGTGTGTGTGTGTGTGTGTGTGTGTGTGTGTGTGTGTGTGTGTGTGTGTGTGTGTGAGTGTGTGCGCGTGTGTTTTAGAGAGAGAGAGAGAGAGAGAGAGAGAGAGAGAGAGAGAGAGAGAGAGAGAGAGAGACAGAGACAGAGACAGAGACAGAGACAGAGACAGAGGCAGAGATAGAGACAGAGAGAGGCAGACAGAGAGAGAGAGAGGCAGACAGAGAGAGAGAGAGAGAGAGAGAGAGAGAGAGAGAGAGAGAGAGAGAGAGAGAGAGAGAGAGAGAGGGAGGGAGAAAGAGATAGAGACAGACAAAGAGACAGAGAGGGAGATGGGTGTTCATGTCCATTGGCACACTGCATAGGTACGTATGTATGACTGGGTGTGCATGATTGCATGTAATATCATTGAACAAGAATTTAATGGGTGCATTTCTGTGTTGATTCTTTGAAGTACGTGTAAGTTCTGTTATACACACTCAAAATTTCTTTCAAGGATCAATAAAGTGTATTTTATCATATCTTATCTATCTTGCTTGCTTGCAAGTAGAAGAAACAAACCAATAGACCACAGGCGCAAAGAGAGTCTTAGCTCGCGTGTCCACCAAACCGGAAACCAACGGACAAAAAGTCGTCCGTCTCTCGGAAAATGAGTTGTTGAAATAGAGCATCATAGGTTTTTATCTTACAATTAATTATTAGTGAGAGCTCCATTTAGATGTGTCCACCGAAACGACCCCACTCCTGACAAAAGTCGCAGCGGCTGGAATGCCGCTTGTGACATTCTAGTGCGATCGTCTGGTGATTCATCAGCTATAGGCTCAGCAGCCAGAGCAAAAAAAAGTCTAATCCTAAGTTTCGATGAAAAATGTATTGCTATACTCATAATTTCCTCCTCAAAATTAGCAAAGTCGACGCGTAAACCACCGATTTAAATGCACATCAACTATTTTACCCATTTTTGACATTTTGTTGCTCTCGCCTTGGGTTCTTTAATCTTTGACCTATAATTTATGCAGGCTGGAAATGACCTGACGAATTTTCCCCCAACTGGACAAAAAATCGAATCGGTTCTGCTTAGGGAGATACGCGGCCTTACCTGTCTAGTGTCAGCTCTTGACATGCCTCGAAAATCGTGCGTGTGTACGGGTGGAATATGTACAACGCTGGACCTCCCGTCCACTTGGCGATTTTCCGAAGGAGGTCTAGGAGCGTGAGGTAAGCTGCCATGTGTTGACGAACTGGGAATGTGAGAGTATGAAGTGTTCTCAGGGGGCATTTTTTCGTTGATGGGTGGCAATCTGAAGTCACCTGGTTGTGATTTGTCTTCTTCACCAATCAAATTTTTATTCGGAGGTGATTGTTCTCCTTGTCTATTCGACCCAGTGACCAGTAGGGATTTGTCTTTAATACTGGGTCCTCTATTTGGAACATGTGTGCTTTTTTGTGCTGGGAGTGATGGTAGGCAGAGAAACTGAGAGGTATTCCCAGCAAATTTCGAATTTGACGAAGAAATAGTGTAGAGCTCCCTGGATACAAGCTCGGGAAATGAGTAAGAACGTTCCATTGAGCAGCCAATGAATTTGCAAATGCGGAGATAATGTGATGCCTCTTCCATTGTTTTGGTTCCGAGTTTTGGATCAGCGGGGTCTTCCACAGACGCATTGGTAACTGCTCGTGGGCCGTCTAGTTCTCCAGTATGACTGTTCTTTTCACAAGAGCTTTGTTCGGAAACGTTTTGTTTCTGTGATACGGGGTCATTTGGAGTGCTTTCAACATCCATGCCAGTTCCAGCCGTGCCGGTAGCAGGAGCTGAATTCTGTCCAGAAGCACACGGAGATTGGAGAAATGATGTACTGTGAGAAGTCGATTTTTTGCCATCCGTGAGCTTGCCCGAATGAGCTGTGCTGACGTTCGCTGTCTCGATCTTGAGACGCCCTTCTTCAAGTTCTCTGCTTTGCACTTCATCGTCGCCTCTATCTGTCTGTTGTGGACTGTTTTGGGCTTTTAGGGAATGTGATGATTTCTCAGATCGTGCCTCGGGTTCTGGAACTTTCGGCGACTCACTTTTTTTGTTGCTTTCTTGCTCGAAATTTACCGATTGTCCGTGGTTTTTTTCATTTTCGCCAGGAGCAGCGGTCTGTTTTCCTCCATCTACTTGTTCCTGCTGCCACTCATCCATACTAATCCCAGCGTCCCCTTCCGTTTTTCCATCACTATTCAGAACTATGGAGGTCGGCCTTCTCGCATCCACGTTTGATACACCAAGTTTATCTGTCTCCGGAGAAATTGCCGTTGACGAGCGGTTCTCTTGTCCTGATGGAAAAGACTCAGATACTGGATTTACATTTTTCACGTTAAAGTGGGTCGCGCTATCGCCGAGGCTGATGGCCAGACTACCCCGTCGGTTCCTTGTTTCAGTGTCGCTATTGGGGCCCTGAAATGAGAAATCAGACTGGACTAGGAGTATGAAACTAATATAGAAGTTAATTAAAGGTGGATTTTCTCAACCTTTATCTCGCACAATACACACATTTGAGATATCTTCAATACTCACACAGGCGTCTGCGGTTAGGGACGTTGCTGTCACACACAGAAGACGCGAGTTCGATTACTGAGTGGGGAGCTTGTTTTTTATGTTTTTAATCTAGTATCTTCACCTGTCTTCTGTAACGATGCATCACCCTCATCCCAAATTGGCGCTGACAGACAGTACCAAGCAGCCCACCTCCTAAATGATCATAACTGTGTCGATGTGGGCATAAAAATATCTACGATAACTATTATTATAAACTGAATCCTCACAATGAGCGTCGGCATCGTTTTTCCTCGTAGGTATAAACGATTCTCCTAGCAAAAGGCAAAACAAAACAAAACAAAACTTCCAACGGGACACACAAAATAAGCCTAACAGACACCTCCCCTGACCTATCCCCCACTACCCAAAACATCCTTAACACTATTGTCTTCTCTGTAGTTGTTATTGCCGCTATCATCCTTCCTTCGTCGATTTCACTTTCAATGTAACTTTTATAGGATACCAACAACACCTAATTCTAAATTTTGGCTTGTTGAATTTTTGATTAATGGATTAGTTTTTGATTTATGGGCTTAGGAAGCATAAATTTTCCTCTTTTTCACTTTTTTTTAGGAACAACCCAATTGTAAGTGTCATAAAATAAAAACTAAAGCATATAAAGAATTCAACAAGCCAAATTTAAGAGCTGCACATTTACTGTTGGCATGCCAAATTGGAAATGAATCAGTTAATAAATCAGGGAATAAAATGGGAGTGAAAAAGGTATATACAAAATCCAATATGGCCGCCGTTTCCATAGTAACCGATTCACAATATACTTTTTGAACTATTGATTTCAAATCCCCAATAACACACGATGTCCCACAACAAATATGGGAACTCTAGGCCTTGTACTCGTAATAGTGAAAATATCAACGTCAGGTGCCCCACCTGCCCTTAAACAAGACGTGGAAAAAACCCAGAAGAGATATAATGTGAACAGTGAACTGCATTACCTGGGCGCAACACTATATCAACTGGTACCAGGGCTATGAGCGGATGACCCTGGTTCGAGTCTCTAAACTAGTATTCTTGAATATAATGGGTCGTTGGGGGGGGGGGGGTTCTTATAACACGCAGCCCACCTGGCTCGATCCTATCGAAGATGGGCATTAAACTCCAAAGTCACGCCTCTTCAATAATTTTACAGTAGCGTTGAAAGGGGCATAAAACCCATACCAAAGCATTTTTTCCCCGGACTGCATTACCTGGAGATACCCGTCTTTCTTCAGACTGTCTGTAGCCTGGCCTATCTCCCCCAGGAGCTGCGTGCCGATAGCTGCTTCCGACTCCCGCAGAGCGCGGTACTGATGTAACAGACTGTGTAAGCTGGCGCGCTGGACGCTTTCGTCTTGCACTGGCTCTTGGCCCTGGGTAGGGGAGAGATGAGGAGAAGTCAGTCTTGAGAACAAAAGCCTTGTTGTTGTTGTTGTTGTTGTTGTTGTTGTTGTTGTTGTTGTTGTTGTTGTTGTTGTTGTTGTTGTTATTGTTGTTGTTGTTGTTGTTGTTTTTGTTAGTGGTAGTCTTTATGATAATGATGATGATGATGATGATGATGATGATGATGATGATGATGATGATGATGATGATGATGATGAGTTACATTCCTTTTACGAACGTTCTCTAAGAGGCATTGAAAATATACCAGCTCAAGGTAAAAAGAATGTGAAAAAAGTAAACTCGACGTATCGTTTACATCCGATCAAGCAAATTTAGCAGGAAGAAATTTAACTGGGAAATCATTATCATTCTTTCATTTGCCGCAAAATGCAAACGAGCAAGTAATAATTTATGATTCTACACGGAATTGAACAAATGTATGGCTATAAAACCAAACGCCATCACTAGTAAACTAATACCATTATTTACTTTCTATTGAGAATTCATTTTAATAATATGGAAATTTTTTGTCTAATAATTTTTACGGCATCGTGTAACATTATGCATTGTATTATCTTATTTCTCTGCCACTTTACTCTCTCAAATCTGTTTTCTTAGTTAACAGAAGCAAAGGATGAAATACTGCAATACAAGTTTGAATGTGTCTATGAACTGTCCTTTGCGCAAAACCGATTAGAAATGACACATGCGCTTTTCAGCCTTCATCGGGAAGAACAAGAACAAGAACAAGAACCTGAACAAAAACAAGCACATGGACAAAAACAAAAAGCAAAAACAAGAACAAGAATAAGAGCAAAAACAAGAAAGAACAAGAATAAAAAATACGGATGAAAGTTATTACCCTAGAATTGAAAAGTTCTATATGTTCAGCTCATTATAGTTTTGAGAAATTTGACGTCGAAAATTTTGACTTCACAAAATGTCAAGCTTTTTTCAAATGCAATTCTTTGAATATCTTGACAACGACTCCGAACAGTCTTACAATTTTGATAGAGCAAATAGAACATTTAATTTTGGTTTCTTATCTCGTGGTCTTATATATATAGTAACTCGATCAAAGCGGCTATAAATGTCAGATACAACTTTGTGATTCTAAGGTGGCAAATTGTCGATGGCTTTGATTGTGATTTGATTACGGCGGTTTTTTATTCTTACCATCCCACCGATCAGCTTGTCTTCAGACTGCTTGAGTTTGAACCTCACAATCCGCTCTGCCAGGCTGACGGGTCTACCCTCGCCGTCCACGTAGACGACATTCTTGTTTTGAAGACCTCTCCGCATGCGCATGCGCAGGTACCGGCGATAACACAGCTCCTTCCACTGAGAGTCGGGTGACAGAACACTCCTCTGCCTCAAATTATGTTCTGTTTCGTCATCGCTTTCGTAGAGATCTGCGTTCAGTCGACGAGTTTTCTTGTGGTGGTTACGTCTGCTTCGTCTACTTCTGCTGGAAAGATGTTTGCTTGACATGGCGACACTGCTTATCTGGAAAGGGGAGTACAAAGTTTAATTAATGAAGACTTTTGAACTGTTTGGAGATTTTAAAAATCGCGATCAAACAAGCGAAAGGCTGGTGGGCTACAAGTTTGTGTCCAGTAGGCCTACGGATCGCTTGTCAGCACCGTTACCATTTTAGAACTTTTCTTTTTCTTTCACTGGAAAGAAATATTATGCCAAAACCATATATAGGGTGATTTTAAAAAAACACTTTACTACTTGTTTTCTAAATATCTTCCTCCATACTGAAATTTTGCGTTTCAGATTTGAAAATGACGTTTGGAAGCCAAAATGAATTTGTCTGATATGTATTCTAGATAAGTCTATTGAATGGTTTAGCTCTAGCACATTAAAAAACACCCCATTTTCAACCTTGTCGCCATTTTCATAGCATGACGCACCAGTTCGCATTAGGCCTACCACTAAAAGTTGCAACAATCGCGCCTTATTGCAAGCTACAGCAGTCTAACAAGTCAACAGAAGTCTGCAGATATTATTTTTCCAAATTGTGTTTGCCTGCTTAGATCATGGTAACGTTTAGTAAAGAGCAGAGAGCTTTTTGTATTGAACATTACCTCTCCACAAACTCACCATCCCTGACATTTCGTAAATCTGCGCACGGCATGGAGAGAATGCTTAGGTGCCCTCAAGACCTTTGGCGTCATGAGTGGAGAAGTTCTGTCAGTTTGGATCTATAGTGAATCAGAATTAAGAAGTTCTTTAAAAAAGGACCGCTTCAGGTCGAACACGCACCATGCGCAGCCCTTTAAACGTCACCAGAGTGCAGATTTCAGTAGCCGAGTCCCATGAGACGTCTGTCCATGGATGATCTGCGACTAGGACTTTCCTACACATCAACAGCCTGCATTCTCAGACCTTAACCTACCACTATACCATGTTCATCTTCGCTAGGCTGAGATGACATGGATCAGAGCATGGCAATGTGTTCATGCTTCCTCGATTGTCTTGTAAAGAGGGATCATTTCCTCGATTTTTGGTCTAGTGCAAAGCCCATTTCCACGCTGCGGGATATGTTAACTCCCAGCGGCGAAGGCTGACTTGTTTGACAGGGTAATCAAAGTGAAATGGGACCAGATAGGGCCTGGAGATATCACACTCACACAAGTCACAAGAATCTTACTGGCACTGGAGGCGGCAACTCTGAGTTGTGAATGAAAACAAATCCTGAATTCATGTTGTATTGTATGCTTGTTCAACCGCTAAAAAAATCGGAAAAGTATTTCATTAAATATTTATTCTAACTAACCTTAAATTTAACTTTAGATTTGAACACACGAACACCAAGGAAAGAAGCACAGATGTCAGCACACAATGGCATACCAGACAGCCGAAACATTTTGGTAGAGCACGACAGTTAATAATTTTTTATTTCACATTTGGCTGTTTTTTGTCTAGCTTTTCGCGGCCAGGAGCCTCTGTCATAATCGAGGTCACGATCTGATTATAGGACGTTAAAAAGTCGAGGAAAAAAACCAAGCACTAGCAGTGTAGTAGCAGGAGTCAAAGGATTATTAGGAGTTAGTTCCCCTCACATCTGTGAGGTAGACTCGACCAGTGTAATAGTTCGCTTAGATAATCAGCGCGTCTGGGTGCTTATAACTGTGGCCCGAAAGGGGTGAACAGGGTATATGCGACAATGAAACAGTTCTGACTGCTATGCACATGTTCCCTTCAACTATATTGGTTGACTCTTCCAGCCTCACTTTAAGCGTACTTAATCAAAGCTTGTGACTGCTTATGGAGTGGCCCGATAGGGGCGAACAGGCTATTTCTGTGGCAATGAAACGGTTTTGAAGGTTAGGCATAGTCTATTGTTCATTGGTGATTATGAACGTATTTAATTTATGAGGTTTACGTCTATGGGTGAATTTGACTGCGACAATGTTTCAAAATTAGGAAGGGAAGCAGTGATTATTTGATTATATAGACGCTTCGCCTCTGTTAATTCCAAACATGCTGTCTCTTGGGCACCCCACTCTATGGTCTCTAGAAACCATTCCTTAGTGAACATGTACAGTGCATGTGGATTTAAAAACTCATGGTTTAGCAGGTCCTTGTGTTAGGGCGCCACTGAACATTTCGAACGACACGTTAAAAATGTGTCGAGTCCAAAGGAGGGAAGGGAGCAGTGCTTCTAGGAGTTTCAGAACGAGATCATTAGGATTTTAAAACTCTGTTAAAGAAAGTAAATATTGTTTAAATGTCACAGGGATGGAAAATTAATGTCAGAGAGAAAATAAAGAAAAAGGTCAACTAATCTTTTCACAACTTCCTTTTCAAGATTTTTAAACATTGGTGAACTTTGCGTTTTTGGGTGCTTTTTTCTTTTATCCGTTTCCGTTTTCAAAACATGTTTCTTCTTCGTGGATTTTACATCAAACAAATTCCTTTTGAATGAATTATGTCAGTTCCAAATTATAGCATTCTAGAACAATTTTTGCGCGAGATATTCGGAAAAAAAGTTGTTAAGTTTTTTTGGATCACCCTGTATAAGTTGCCTGTCGTGCAATGATAAGAATATGACAGACTTGGTCCTAGCGTGTCGTACGAGGCGACTAAATGGCAAATCAGGTAGTGACTCTCGAAACAGAGTCATCCTCCCTCCAGGTCGGGGGTTGAATCACGAGGCTAACAACCTCTCTCGTAAAAATAACCTATTACAGAAATACATTCAAGCAAAAACCATTATCTCCGCTTGGCTAATTGTGGATCTTCTCCGAATGGAGAGTTCATGATGCGAGGCAGTGAAAGCCGAAAGGAAGCTGCTGGGCAGAAGCCTCCACCATCATCCAAGTCCAAGTTCTTCAGATTGGCTCGTGGAACGTTAAGACCCTTTATGAGGCTGGAAAAACTGCACAGGCCCTCCAAGAGATGCATCAATACCAATTACACATACTGAAAACCAGCGAGACCCACTTGAACCAGTCTGGACAGAAGCGAATGAAAGAGGGGGAGCTTTTCCTTTATTCAGGAAATGACAATGATGGACCACACAGGAGTAGGAGTAGGAAGGGATGATCATATCCATGACAGCCCAAAAGACATTCAGGGTCTGGGAAGCGCAAAGTCCAAGGATGATCATGGCCTCATTTGGAACCAAGAATAAACTCAAGGAAAGATATTATAGGAAGAAGGTCATAAACATGAGCATCATACGAGTGTATGCCCCAACCAATGATGCAAAAGAGGAGAATAAAGATGACTTTTACAACCGCCTGCAGAATGGGGTCGACAAACTTCCAGGTAAGAGCATCAACATTGTCATGGGAGACGTAAATGCAAAGGTAGGTTGGGACAATAGTCACTGTGAGGAAATCATGGGCTGACATGGATTAGGAGAGGCAAATGACAATGGAGAAAGATTCCAAAACTTCTGCACATTCAACAACTTGGTTATTGGAGGAACAAACTTCCCATATAAGAGGATTTATAAAGCCACTTGGGTCTCCCCAGATGGAACAACGGAAAACCAGATTGACCATATTTACATCTCCCGAAAGTTTAGACGCTCACTGGGGGACGTCCGAGTCTTATGAGGAGCAGACGTCGTATCTGACCACCATTTGATCCTTGGAAAGTTGAAACTGAAACTGAGAAGGTATGCACAAGTCTCAACTGGAAGTCGTCAAAAGTATGAAGTGAGCCTTCTGAAAGACCCAGTAAAGAAGAATGAGTTCAAGTTGGAACTGAAGAACAGATTTCAAGCCCTTCAAGATCTGGATGAATGTGAAGTAATCGAACACTGGGACAAGATAAAAGAGGCAGTAAATGTAACTTGCCAGAACACCCTAGGACCCACAGACAACACCAGGAATGAATGGATTTCCCAGGACTCTCTAGACAAAGTCAAAAGAAGAACAGAGCTGAAAGCCCAAGTCAACAACAGCCGTACCCGAACTGAGAAACTCGCTGCTCAACAAGAGTACACCGAAGTAAACCGGGAGGTAGAGAATTCCCTCAAGAAGGACAAGAATACCTACCTGAATGGCCTGGCCAAAAAGGCAGAGAAAGCAGCAACAGGCGTATACTTGCGGCTTGTATACCAGAAAACAAAAACTCTTTCAGGTAGGCTCAGCAAGCCCACTCTACCACTGAAAGACAAAGAGGGAAAGACTATCTTCAACCCAGAGGGGCAACTTAATCGATGGAGAGAACACTGATCAACTCTTGAACAGACCACCTCCAGAAAACCAACCAGAAATTCTTCCAGCCAGAAAAAAAACTACCCAATAGTTACAAAACCACCTTCGAGAGAGGCAATTGCAGCAGCTATAACATCACTGAAGTCCCACAAGGCAGCTGGTCTCGACCATATACCACCAGAAACCCTAACGGCAAATAAAGATACATTAGTGGAAATTCTCTATGCTCTATTTGAAAAGGTTTGGAAAAAAGGGGGAAATACCATCAGACAGGAAGGAAGGCCACCTAAACAAGCTGCCAAAGAAAGGAAACCTCAGCAATTGTAACAACTACAGAGGCATTACACTCCTGTTCATACCTGGGAAAGTCTTTAACAGGATACTCATGGAGAGATCAAGCTGGCAACAGACGAGAAGCTACCAGGAAACCAGGCAGGATTCCACAAAAACATGTCATGTGTGGACCAGATCGCTACTCTGCGCATCATTGTTGAACAATCGCTTGAATGGAATTCACCTGGTCAACTTTATTGATTTTTATGAAAAGGCGTTTGACAGCGTGGACAGGGAAACTCTGTGTAAATTCATGCGCTTATGGAATACCTAACAAAATCGCCAAGCTTTGGAAGGCCACCTATGATGGAACATATTGCCAAGTCTTCCACAAAGGACCACTCTCAGAACCATTTCAGGTACAGACAGGAGTGCAACAAGGATGCTTGCTCTCACCTTTTCTCTTCCTGCTGGCAATTGTCTGGATCATGAAAGAAGCCACCAGAAGCAAGCGCAATGGAATACAGTGGACCCCTTGGCAGCAGCTGGACGACTTGGACTTCGCTGATGATCTTGCACTGCTCTCTC